CCAGGGCTCCGGCTGTCCCGGAGGAAAGTCACTTGTTTTCTGGGCTTTTGAGATGAGGCTTTTGCCAAGTCTCTGGAGAAGTAATGGAAGTGAAATCAGACAGCACTTTTTTTCCCCATGCACCATGCAAACTATTTAACAAAGGTAACAGGTCAAGCCAAAAGGGCACTGTATTTTTTTTTTTTTTGAGAGGTTTTTGCTATAGGGTGTGTGTGCTCGCCAGACAGACAGAGAGAGACAGAGAGACAGAAAGTGAGAAATCACCCCCAGGGGGGATGGCCATGCCGCAGTCCCTTCTCCTCCATTCTCCTCTCGGAATTTTGAGCATGCACGCACACGCGCCCAGCATGTTTAAGCCATCGGGTCTGGGATTCAAACTACATGGGAGTCCAGTGACGTAGTCATTATGCTGTCTGCTGATCCCAAGGGCACTTTATATTAAGAGAAAGCTGACTCAAAGTTTCACCTGCCACCTGACAGCAGCCTCCTTGTGGTGCACCTACCTGGGCTCTGTGCTGAAGAATACGGCTCGTGCACAGGTGTGGAGGCTGAAGGGCACATTCTTTTAAGTGTTCACTGAACACTGCCTTAAACGCACATACACATTACAATTGAAAAAGATCGCATTGGGTTTAAGAATCATTTCTCTTAATTATTATTATTATTTAAAAATTTGAGCAGAGAGAAAGCAAGCCGCCAGGTCCAGGACTTGAACCGCAGTCAGCATGTGGGTGTCCAGCGCTTTAACCATCACGCCACGTGCCGGCCGCAGGATCTCATTGGTTTTGAGAATTACAGTAAGTTTTGGAAAGTTCTCACTCAGCAGCTTGTAACAGAAATAAACTACTAACTTCAGGGGAGACGATGAGCAGTCTTGCTTCAGGACAGGAAGCAGAAGGAATGAAAACTCAGGTGCCACAGTGTTAGATGTTTTATGGGCTTCATCTCGCTCAGTCCTCAGAGCAATCCCATCAGGAAGAAAGACACTGTCCCCACTTCACGGACAAGAAAACTGAGATTTAGAGACCCTGGATTTCCCAGTATCTCACAGCCAGGCAGGGGCAGACGTGAGACTCAGGGCCAGGTGCCAGCGTAGGGCCCCAGAGGACTTCCATGCCCTGTGGTCCACACTGCTCCCCGAGGGCTCCTGAAGCATGAGTCATTCACTGGCCATCAGCCTACCCAGACTAGTTTCATTTATTAATAGTATTAAGGTTTCTAAGTGCTAGGCGTACTGAGTCACTCCTTTTGTTGGTTTTTGTTTTTGCTATAGGGCATGTGCACTCACTAGGAGAGAGAGGGAAACTGAGAAATCGCCCTTTGGTGAGAGGTGGAGCGACACCACAATCCCTTCTCCATTCTCCTTTTGAGATTTTGGGCGCACGGCCAGCATGTTTTCCCTTTTTTTGTTTTTGTTTTTTTTTTTTAAGAGGTTTTTGCCTTAGGGCATATGTTCTTGCCTGAGAGAAACACAGTGGAAGAGAAACATCCCCCCGTGGGGGGATGGCCATTGCACAATCTCTTCTCCATTCTCCTCCTGGGGTAGTGGTACACAGGCCCACGCACCTAGTGTGTGTCAAGCCACTAGGTCTGGGACTTGAACGGCAGTCAGCCTTGTGGAAGTCCAGCAATGCGACCACTACGCCATTGGTGGCCCCACCAGCATGATTTTCAAGCCACTGGGTCCAGGACTCTAGCTGCTCTTGGCCATGTGTGGTCCAGCCACCTTAACCTCCAGGCCCTTCAGTCATTCGCTTTTTTAAAAATCAGAAACTATTTTAACCACTAAAAATGAGTTCTAAGAATGCACAGGTCTTCAATTCTACAATAGAATTAGGACAGAAATTTCAGAATGAAAACAAAAACACCCCCAACACCAAAACAAAAAACATACTAGCAAGGTTCTATAATCCAAAGACACTTTGATATTTATTTCAAATTTTTATCAAAAATACAAAGATAATACCATTTCGTGGTGATTTTTCTAAGGCCTTCCAAAACTTTTTAAGCATTATTTGGCTCTTTAGAACACTTTTGCATTTGGCAGTAATTTCAAATCCATGTTTGTTTTCTAAAGCATCCTTTAAGAGTTTAGAGATTGGATGACTTGCTCATTTAATAAGTAAATACTGTCTCAACCCTAAATCCAGGTAAGTCATCTCTGGGGCTAGCTATGTGTTCAACACAAAGAATTTTTTTTTTGAGAGGTTTTTGCTATAGGGCACGTGTGCTTGCAAGAAAGACAGAAGGGGGGGGGTGGCCACGCCACAATCCCTTCTCCATTCTCCTCTCGGGATCTTGGGCACGCACATGCACCCGGCGTGAGGTTTTTTTTTTGTTTTTTTTGAGAGGTTTTCGCTATAGGGCGCGTGCGCTCGCCAGACAGACAGAGAGAGACAGAGAGACAGAAAGCGAGAAATCAGCCCCCAGAGGGGATGGTCACGCCGCAATCCCTCCTCCATTCTCCTCTCGGGATCTTGGACACGCACGCACACGCGCCCGGCATGAGTTTTAAGCCACCGGGTCCAGGGTGCGAACTGTGGTCGACTATGTGGGAGTCCAGTGACATAGCCATTACACTAACTGCTGGTTCCCCCGCCTGGCGTGAGTTTAAGCCACCAGGTCCAGGACTCGAACTGCAGTCGACTACCTGGGCGTCCAGCGACACAGCCATTAGGCCAACTGCTGGCCCCATCATCTTGATAGCACAGATAGCCCAAGAAAATGAGAGCGATGATTATATCGGGTCATCGGAAAAGTCACGATGTGTTTTTCTATACAAAAATGTATCATGACTTTTCCGATGACCCAACAGATTGCTAGTTTCCTAGTCGTGACCCCATATTCAGCTACCACGCACTCAGTTGCTAAGGCAAGATAAAGGATGTACAAAGAATCTTTCAAGACACCAGGGTTACAATACATTTTAAAAGGGAGTGACAGCAGTTGGGAAACTCAGAAATGACGTGCACTAACGTGTGGGCGAATTTTACTCAGGGGGAGCAAAGCTATGCATGGGTAATGCAGGCCGAGGTGCCGAGGCCAGGAAGCCTTCCCAGGATGAAAGCTGAGGTCGTCCTGTGGCAAGCTCAGCCTCTGACTCCTCGTTTGGGTTGACCGGGAGTTACCAGGGAGGAGAATGCTTAGTGTCAGTCTTCCAGCCTTCTCTAAGGGTTGACCAGAAACTCAAAACCACCTTCAAGTGAACACGTAGTCGCTGATGCAGGATGACCGGAAACCCCTTCCTGTCTCCCCAAGTGGAAGCAAGTCCTTTTGCAAACACTTGTTTCAAGAGCATCTAAAAGCTTCCTAAGACGCAGCGTGCTGACAGGTGGCTTCTTTAACATCAGTTAAGTCACACCACAGCTGAACACCCCTGTGCTCTGAATTAACTTCAGTTGCAGATCCAAGGGTGTTTTCTCTGACAGCTTGAACTATGAGTCATTCACGACCTCTTATTTCTTTAAATCGCATCTCGGACCACTCCTTCGCGGGGTAGGACAGTAACAAAGCTTTAAGGTCGTCTTTGGAGAGCCTACACACGCAGGTTCTGTCAAACCATAACGTAAGTGGAAAGCCCAACAAATGTCCAGTGTTTCTCATATCTCAATTTTTTATATATACCAAATCAAATTCTCGTCATGAACGTGGCTTTAGGGGCACCTGCTTTGCTCCGTGGGGCCCGTGCTTGGTCTCCTGGTAATTCTCCGGTGCTGCTCGGTGCGCACAGGCAGCTCTGAGCAAGGCCCTGGCTGTGCCTTTGGTGGTGGCAGGGTGGCCCTTGTCCTCGGTGAGGAGGAAAGCTGTAAGTGACACGGCTGAGCCCTGGATCAGCAGGTCTCGGGGAGCATCTCTGCTTCGTCATCTGGCGACACATCAGCCCAGTGAGGTGAGACACGGCCCTGGCCACCCCTGCTCAGTCCCCAGAGAAGGGAAGGAAACAAGCGGAAGAAGGCTTCTAGGTTGCCATTCGGGATGCCTCTGCTCACCAGAGCTGCTGACTGGCGGGAAAGCAGGGAAAACTGACGCACACCATACCCGACGTGCACGCTGCCCGGCCTGGCCCGGGGAGGAGGAGGGGGCTCCAGGATCCATGACTGACGGGCCGCCTCTCTGGCCTGGGGCTGTCAGTGGCAAGAGGACACCGGGATGCTGAGGCTCACGTCGGTGTCGGGCTGGTGCCAGGGCCGGTTTCACTCCAGCTTTTTGGCCAAGCCCCGTGTCCGAGCAACGATGATGGGCACCAGGGCCAGGCAGCCGAGGAAGAGGGCCCACAGCGGCCGGTAGAAGAGCCAGCCGGCAGCCACGGGCAGCAGGGTCAGCGAGGTGGCCATGCAGAAGGCGAAGGCTTTCAGGCCGATGTTGACCAGGTCTCGGAAGACGGGAAACCAGTCCACTGTGGGGAAGAGAGGCGGTGAGGCTCTGAGGCTGCCGTGCCTCAGCTCCCGTCTCTGGGCAAGGAGGGGCTCTTGGTGCCATGAGAGGAGGAGAGGAAAGGGGCAGTGTGGAGGGAGGCAACCTTGCGTGGAAAGCCAGGAGCTCCTGGGGAGGGGAAGCCCCTCCGCCCAGTCACAGGGAAGAAGACATTCATGTGTAAAGTTGAAAATACCATTTCCTGCATATCCCCAAAGAGGCTGTGGCCGGAGCTGCCTGCGGGGGCCCATCTGGAGGTGTTTGTTCACTGCACTTGTGATCCAAGTGGCCAGCCCTGTGCAGGGGCTGAGCGAAATAACTTAGGCTAAGCGTTGGCCTCCACCTCAAGGGTCTCAATGGCTACTGCCCGGTAGGATCCATCTAACCTGGACCCCTCTGCCCTCCACCTGGCTCACCTCTGCAGGTCGGTATTCTGTGGCTGGCATGTACTGGGGGAGTCTTCATTCATTTCCCAGGAGGCCCCCACGGCCTGGTACCATTGGGTGTGCAGAGCTGGCCCCGGGGCCCCATAGTGATCGCGGGACACCTGCAGGCCACCTCCTGGCCTGTGCAGTCTTTCCAGAGCACCCGGCCCCCTACCTCGCCCTCGTACTCAAGCAGGTGTGTTTCTGGGATGGTCGGGCACTGTCTGACCATCCCAGGCCCTCTCTCCTACCCACTAGGTCACTGAGGCTCAGGAGCTCGCCCTGAGTCCTGCTGCTAGAAAGTGCCAGAAGCAGGTTTTGCACTTGGGATTCTCTTGGCCTTAGCCGTCACTCTGAGTGACGTATCTGTCCTCACTGTGTGGCTCTAGGCAGGGGCGGCTCAGCGTGGAACTTCCCTTGAGCAGAGGCACTATTGCGAGCTCGTGTGCTGTGGCTCCGGATCCTCCTCTGCCCAGGGACCGCACTCAGGGCGGTCCTGGATGCAGTGTCGGCAGTCAGAGCGTAGAGAGGGTCAGGGTCACCGTCAGATCCGGGAACGGCCTGACACAGACGGGGCCTGAGGCTCCAGAGGGGCAGGCTTTCCAGGTCACAGCCAGGTGGGGCTATTTAAGTTGTCCTGGCTCTTCCACATGCCCACCAAGCGGCGGGGCATCTGAGCAGTCGAGCTGTGCAGAGAGCCTCAGACGCTAAGTCCCCTTCCTGAGACCTCATTTCCCATCTGTAAATGAGGGTGGTGAGCTCCCCAGCTGTGAAGGGTAGTCTGGCATGTACCATGGCCAGACCAAGCCCCAGTGTGTCAGCCGCATGTGGGGGAGAGGTTTCTGTTGGCACCCAGAGGAGGCTGGAGGAAGCATCTGTGCACAGGACATGCACTATGGTAAAGCCCAGATGGAAAGTCTCCTCCCAGACCAACCGCCTGGGCCCAGCGTGTCCTCCATGCCCCGGGGAACTCGGACCCCGAGCTGGGCTGGGCCCTTTGGGCTCCTCCTGGCTGGTGCCACCTCAGGCTGGTGAGTGGCCTGCACACCCCCTCACACTGCCGCCTGCTGACCGCCCAAGTCGCCAGGTTTTGGAGGGAGCAGGAAGCCTAACAGTTCTGCAAACATTTCAAAAAACCCTGCAGGTTGGGTGTGGGGTGACTGAAGCTCCAGAGGAGAGGGACTGGCCTAAGTGCCCAGAGCTCCGGCTCCCCTGGCTGTTCAGTCGTGGAGTGAAGGAATGAGTCAGGGAGCAGGTCCATGATGGATGGGCTGAGTGGACTCGGACCAGCCCCTCCTCTCCGCTCACTCATCCCACAGTAGAGTGAGGACACAGGTGGCAAACGCCCGGCTCTGCCCAGGGGAGTACTCTCAGGCCGGAAGGCTGACAGAAGAGGGCATGGCAAGCCCAGAGGAGCCCACGGGGTCCTGGGTGGGGTAGCAGGGTCTCCCCCACGCCCCTCCACACCTACCCAGGGTATAGAGGATCCGCGTCATGAGGTTGAGGCCCATGAACATGGCCATCCAGCCAGCGGCCCGCAGGCCCCAGGTCTTCATGGAGTTGCTCTTCTGTTCTCTCTGAAATACCTCCTGCAGGGCAAGGTGGATGGACATCAAGAGTTAAGGCTTAGGGAACCAGCAGTTAGCGTAATGGCTATGTCCCTGGATTCCCACGTAGTTGACCGCGGTTCGCGTCCCGGACCCGGTGGCTTAAAACTCACGCCGGGTGCGTGTGCTCAAGATCCCAAGAGGAGAATGGAGGAGAAGGGATTGCAGCGTGACCATCCCCCCTGGGGGGTGATTTCTCGCTTTCTGTCTCTATGTCTCTCTCTGTCTGTCTGGCGAGCGCACACACCCTATAGT